TCTAATGGGTAATTCGTTATAAGGATTGTAATGAGTCCTGACATTTCAAATATATACCTTTTTCTCACAATTCTCTATTTTGTCTATCACGTTTTTAGATTTTAATTTATGAGCTTGTTAATGCCTGAATTATGAGTGTTGTCCAAGCAATATTTTGGTTGCTTTTGGCGGATTGCTTGCTACTAGGTTGGATCGGATGTCAACCTGTGGAGGCACCATTTGTTACTACTGGACAAATTTCTCCTTTAGCATGTTTTAAATCAAATTTCCAAAATTGAAAAAGCTAAGAATGAAAACTAATGCTTTCCCTTTTTTTTCATGCTTTGGTTAAGTTACGAGTACACGGAACAACAAAATTTTTATGTGGCAAGTTGGCAACAACAAGAAGATGGCTCCAGTTTTTCCAACACCACCTTCATTGTCTGGAAACGTTGGTTGTACCCAACATGATATGTACAACTCTAGTAGAGATAGGCGTATAAAGATCAAAGGTTGTGATGGAGAGTTTTCTGGATGATGTTTAGAACTCTTAGTGAGTAGTGGCAAAAGAGATCCAGTTTCTAGTTTCTTTATCTACTGATTTATTTTTTAAGGTCTATTGAATTATGAGAAAAGTTTGTTTAAGGCATATCTTGCTTGATTTCTTTGTAATTAGTTGAATCAATAAGGAACTATGGATGCAAGGTGTAGTCATTTCCAGAGCAGTCAAGGTGTAGTCAGTTGCCTTGTGAAAGAAGCTAGTAAGGAACAAATGAAATATTTCTACTTCTCCAGTACATTAAATTGATAAATTTAAACAGAATGTTTACATTACCAACATTAAATTGGAATATTTTACAAGTGCTTCCTCCACAGATGCCTCATAACCAACAAATAAATTGATCTTGTATGTTTCCTACTTCAAAGCTCTTCCTCATATGGTTGCTCTACTCTCATAAATGAAAATCCAAAGTATTCTACTTTAAAATTACTATAAATGCTTTCAAGTAGCACAGCAGTGTCCCTCTGCAGCCTCCTTTAAAAAAATTAATGATAATAATGTCCCTTCTTTTAAGTTCTTTTTCACAGCACATCTGTAAGGCTAGAATAAGTTTTGGTGATGACAAAATCGTGGTTGTTTTACTTGTCCAAATCGCACGGTAATATGTTTCAATTCGTTCTATTTGGCATAACAATAGAATGTGATAGGATGGGGTTATTACTATTCAAATCCGAACGACTATACAGTGGCAAAGAGAGAAAACTTTACATACTGATTTGGACAAAGCTTATTGTATTTGATTGTAAACTGATAGTCTCCTAAACGAGTCAAATGGTCTCAATACTTAGTCTAATGTTTCAGGAAGAGTTCATGTTGAATATCTTTTCTTCAAATACTTGGAATGCATGGACACAACTTAATCCTTTTTTTTTTTCTGTTCCATTCACATGTGTAGATGGTGTCACTTAATTTGGAGAATCTTGCATTTCGTTCCGGTTATTAGTGTCTTTCGAATCTCAATCTTTCTCATGGAAATGGTGTTGCAGTTTAAGTTGTTAACGACAGGTTGTGGTTCTGAGATTCAAGCAAACTGAGCTATACAAAAGTAGGTCTTATGCAGGAGGGGCTAGTATTTGAAGACATAAAAGAACTGCACCGATATTGGTCGAAATCGAATAGCTTGGTTTAGTTAGCTGTGGAATCTGATTTAAGCAAAACAATCTCTGGCACAAAACTAGTAGAAACATGAAATCTTTGTATTTTGGTCTTCTAGTTGCTTTCATAAGGATTGATCTAGATTATCTCCCTACTCAGTTTCTATAGTTCTTTGTCGGATCACATCTGAATTAGATGGATGATCATTTCATCTTTACAAATTAGGCTCAATCACTAATCCTTTTTACTGTCCCACAATAACTTTTAGTTAGTTTCTGCCTCACATCTTCCAAATTGATCACTTGTTTTGGACAGTTATTGTTCTATGAGGGAATATGGCTTGCCAAGATTTTATCTCTACAAAAAGAGCATCATGTGTATTAATCAATTTATTTCTGGATTTGTTGAACAAGTGCAGGCGGCCCAAGAAACAAGAAATAGCAAGGGCATTAATGAAATTTTTCCTAGGGTTTGTAAGTCTTCTCTTCTTTAGATCAGTGCTTATGTCTCAGGACAGTTATGTCCAAGTTTTTTATCTTGATTGGTTCAGATGACGATTCCAATGGTTTTAGCTTCCCTAAATCCATGGCCTATTTCTCCAGTTCAAAGACCACCACAAACTTAAGATCAAAGTTGGAATGATGAGATCATTCTTACAGGAATACCCAGGTATGAAATAAACATGGATATCATAGATTAAGAGCTCACAACTCCTTTGTGTGCATAGCTAATCAAACAATGGTAAACATAATTTTAATTGTTGATCCAATCAATTCATACATCAAGGAAAATCAAAGAAGAGATGCATGTAAAGAAAAAGTGGTGGTTTGGTGTGAAGTGGCAGAAAACCCTAGCCCTCTCTCTCTCTCTCTCAAAAAAGACTCCCCTCTCCTCTTCTTCCCCCCTCCCCTTCTCCCTTCCTCCCCTCTTCTCTTTTTCCCAATTTTCAGAGACAGAAGGTTTCCCCTATTTGTCTTCGTGTTGTAATGATTTTCCTCCACTAATCACAGGCAGATGCGTCTCGGCATCAGATCTCCACCTGTGTTTCGGTGTTGGATCTCTACCACCATCTTTTTTGTTATTTCTTTATATTTGGAATAAGTCGCAGAGACTCTTTGGGTTTTCTGTAGTTTTCACCTCTCCTTTTGTGATAGTTTTTCACCTTTCTTTTATGAGAGCTTTGCACCTCTCCTTTGTGAGAGTTTTATTTGTATTGTTATGGCTTGGTTTTTTCAAGCTTTATCTATTTTTGGTTTTTCTGAGCTTGCTCTCTTAATTGGGATGCCTTTGCCAAAGTTTTCGATCCCGAGTGATCGTGGAGGAGCCCTAGATTGTCTTAAATTTGATGTTAGACCGCTGGCCGTTTGTTGCTAATGGCTTTTTTGGCTGAATTATAAATACAATCCCAGAATTCCTCCACAAAAAGAAAAAAAATGGTTAATTGGGACTATTTCTGTCGTTGAAGTTACAACATATGACCTAACATCTTAAATAGTTACAATTGTGTAGATTAGCACCATATCTAATATCGCATGGCTCTTTTAATGTTGAAAAATGTCTGGAGTTCGAATTCCTAATCTTCCTTCATCAAAATGGAATAAATAAACAAAATTAAAAAATTTCTGAGGCTATCTTTTCAAAACTTGGCAATCGTCTAATCTTCGTTGGAGCATAGACGGCGAAGTGTTTCTTTGGATCATGGAGGGCATAGTTTATGTAAGCATCAATCTTATCTTTCTCATCTTTAGACTCTGTCTTGGTAATGCCATCCATCCATGGAGACCAGGTTGAATTTGGAGGGGGAGGAGGTGGAGAAGGAGAGAGTGGTGGTTTTGTTTGAATATTTGTTGATGCTTGTCGTGGCACATACTTGCTGCTGCTCTTGCTTTGTTTCTTCATCGTTGGATTGCTGGTTTCTTTCCTTGTCTTATTTGCTTCAAATCTCTGTTAGGAGGAGCAATAACAAGAACAAAAGAATTAAATTATATGAAATAACTGACATTCATTCAAGCAAACTGTTGCAAATTAAAAAAATAAAAATAAATAACTGACATTCATTTAATTTTCCACATTGATGACACAATTATAACTCAAAACTGTATCTCACCCAATTTACTTCAATTAAACTGAAAGAATCTAGTAGCTGAGTTGTATACTGTTCTTCTCTAGGTAGCTTAATGTGCAAGAACTTAACACCAAAAAAAAAACCAAACTTATTACGCAAGAAACAAAGAAACTCTTTCTATAGCATTCAAACCAAGTTTTCAAAGTAGAAGGATCCAACAACAAAGAAGAATTGTGGTGGTTGGTTTTCAAGTTTTGCTAATTAATCTAATTTTTCAATCAAAGCTGAGTACTGGTTTTCTGAACAACCAGAGATCCCACAAAAAATCAAGAGTAGAACAAACTTGTAGAAACAACACAGAGAGAGAGAGAGAGAGAGAGAGAGAGAGAGAGGTTTTTAACGTACCCTGTAAACAAGTGGGTTTGTTTATGCAGGAAGAGGTGTTCGTCTTGGTGGTGGTATATATATGGAGAGAGTAGGGAGCAAGTTACCCAAATTAGAGGTTGAATTGGATTTGAGTAAGTTTTTACTTGTGTCACAAATAAGGTATTTTACTTAGAAATACCTAATTGGATGTGGCATTGAAATTGGGTAACAAGTGATTATTTTGGAAGTTTTTCCTTTTCCTTTTTTTGATTGCTAAGATATATTTAAGAAGCTCTTTTGTTAATTAATTGAAGATCAAATAGGGAAGAAAAAAAACCAACAAAGTGCAAGGGACTTGTAGCTCAAGTGGTTAAGAGTTAAGAGCGTTTTACCCTGCACTCGAGATCTTAGGTTCGATTTCCCTTTCCCTCAACATAGTTTGTATAACAAAAATAAAAAATAAAAACCCAAAAAAGTAGGAAGCCAAAAAAAAAACACCTCCACCAAAATGTTTGGGCTATCTCTTTCAATCAGCCCAAGTCCGGCCTCCAACTTAGTTACCCAGCCCATACTTTGTCTCTGCCTGTCCGTCTGTCTCTCCTCTCTCCCTCAAACTCTCAGGCCAGAAGAGAAGACGCCTCGTCGTATATCAGGTATGCTTCCCAAACCCAGAACCGTCTTCAAAACCCTAAACCAACTGTTCATACTAAAATATTCCAACTCTTCTTCTTCCTGCTCTACTTCTTTGAACAATTTCAAAGCTTCAAGGGTTCCGTTTTTCCTTTGAATTTCCCATTGATTCTTAACCATTTTCAGTGAAGTTCGCTATTATGCTTTAGCTGAGAACATTTGTAATCTCTGAGAAAAAAGTGTAACAAAAATAAAACAAACAAATTGGGTTTAAGCTTTGGGTGTGTGAGATTTAGTCCTTTTAGTCTGCTTCATGTTATTTTGATTCATCAATGTGGTAGTTTTTCTTTCTTCTTCTTTTCCTTTATTTTTGGGATAATTGTTAATTGGTGGTGCTGTTGAGTCACAAAGAAACAGCCTCTGTTATTTGTGCATAAATATTATTGGAGTTCTGCGTTTAAATCCCAGAAAATGTTTGTGTGAGATTAAATGTTGGTTAGTTTCTCTCAAGGTTGGGTTAGTATCGTGTCGAATCTGGATAATTAACAACTTGTTGAACTTTGGTTTACAGTTTTCCTCCGTTCTTTCTAAGAAAAATTCGTGTTTACTGAAAACTGTGATGTTGTATGAGTTACATGTAATTCAAGGATTCTTTCACCATGTCTCCAATTTATTGACTTCGATTATATTATAGTCAGTGAATTTACTCCGAAATGACCTGTAGAATTCTATGAAGTATATGCTGGCAGTTTGTTGATGACTAAATGAATAACTAAGTTCCTTGTATTTCCTATTTCAGTTAAAGACTGGTAAAGAAGAGGTTGACCTTGCATTGGTGATGGTGGAAGTGTGGTGGTCCCTATTAGCTGCGATCCCCGCAGTGGTTGCAGGACAAGCATTTCGAGTGAAGAAAAGGCGCGCTGAAGAGCAGAGATTAAAGAGTGCCAGGGGGAGAGAGAAGAATTCTGATGAGATTTTTGTCTGTGAGAGGGTATGTACATCCAAGAGAATGCTGAAAAAGCTAGGTGCATTCCCAAAGGACCCAATTCCTGATACTTGTGTCACTGTTTGTGGTGTGTCGGAGCTGGATGCATGTGCTGATGCATGCGCACGCACTGTTTGCGTAAACCAACATCAAGTACCTAACTGGAATGACATATGCCTTCGGAGATGCCAGAGTGAATGTCTAAAACTCTCTTCTTCCAGTTATTCTTAGTGTATTTTTTTCAACTTAAAAGAGGAATGTGTATTACAAGTCGAGTTATCATAGTTTTATGACATATTCTCCGATTATCGGCTATCAATTTTAAGAAGCTTGGACTAAATTTTTGTGCTTGATTGCTCTTAAGGCTGATTTCTGGCACAAACTTGATTGTTGATTTTTTGAATTACCTTTGTTATATCTCTGGCGTTCAGCATATATAGGTGCTTTCTTGTCTTTGAGCTTGCAACTGATGTCGATTTAGGTGCTTGTTTCTTTAAGCTTGTTTGGCTCGCTTGGTGGGCTTGATATCAGGTATTTACACTCAAGCATAATAGTCATATTGCAAAGCCAATGTTTGTGCATCTATTAGGTTTAGATGACATTGAATTTAGCATCCCTAAATGTTTTGTTCTCATTTATTTTGGTTTTACTTTTGTCTGCAAATGGTTAATGGAACTTGTGAAATTTTTTCTCTGTGAGGAGGGTAATTTCTCACTTGAAGACTTTGGCCCTTTCAAGGCCTTTCGAGAGCACTAACATGAAGGAAGTTCGGACACTTCATGATCATATGTGTTTGGCTTTTTAATTAAGAAAGTCTGTCTTTAATTATTTCAAAGAAAAGGTAAAATGCGAGATCATTGATTTGCTTATTGCTGAATCTTCATAACTCTCCATTTTGATATAAAGTTATCAAACTGAATGAATGCAGATTGATACGAGTTTACAATGAAACAAATCTTTAAGCAAAAAAAGCCTTAACTTTACGAATTAAGCATCAAAAAATTCTTAAAGCTCTGCATGGGGCTCTTCATGAGAGACCTTTTCCTTTACCTTTTCTGCTGTCTTATGCATTGTCTCTCCCACTGCTTCGCCAGCTGATTTAGCGGATTCTTCAACTGTGTGTTTGCCTGTTTCAAAACTCTTGTGAGCTGCCTCTTTCAATTTCTCTCCCATCCCAACACCACCGGTGCTACCCTTTCCATCTGCCTCATCTGCACCCCTGAAACTGATAAAGCAATTTGAGAAACTTGGCAGCAAACTTAAGACTTTCTGTAAAACTTTTCGAGAATAGTCGAAAATTGGGGTGCATAGGGTTGCCACACATTAAACCAAATACCTTTGGCGCCGCAATTTTGTGCTATTTTTCTAAAATTCCATGTGAAAAGAAATGCCATCTTTGAAAAGATGGGGTGAACTTGTTGTTAGTTTTTCATGAAAGTAGCAAACTTGCAACAGAAGCACTTACTCTAGATTTGGAGGGGAAAATTGCAATTGCATATCACTTATGATGGTTTTGACTTTGTCCCAGGCATTTTGATGAGACTTTTGCAGGACAGAAATTGTATCATAGAGCACATCGATTGTATCTTGCATTGTTTTTCCAAATGTAGTCTGCTCTTGCTCATTCTTCTCAACCTGTTGTTGTCCTTCCCCGATCGTCGACGGAATCTGAAGCGAGACGATGATGAACCAGAAAAGAAACAGTGCGGTTCTTCTGCTAAATTTGTCCATGCCACTAAATTTGGAGGATTGTTAAAGTAGGGCGATCAACTGGGTTATATCAAAGGTGGTTTTGTACTTGGAGTTGTTTCAAATTTGAACACTTTCTAGGCTTCTAGCCAGTGACATGTAATAAGGTAACGTGGGGTTACCTTCTTGCATGTAGGATTCCACATTTGAACGTGTCAAATCATGGTTAGAGATGTAATATTGCAACAGAAATGTAGCATTAATAATTTATGGCTTTCTGACCAAATAAATAAATAAAATAATTTATGGCTTGCAATTTGTATTGACTGCGTGGAAGGAAGTTTACAAAATAACTAATCATGTGGATCTCTAGCATGTTAATCTGATCTGAGAAAAAATTAACGGAGGAAGGTGAGCAAGATTAATCTATATATATAAAGCAAAAGGCAGAGAATGGTGAAACATTCAAAATACCAAAAAATGCCCTTGGTTAATGCAAACATTTAGAATTGAAATTATTAATTAAATAAGGATAATATGGTAAATTCACACTTTTTCATATTTTTAAAAAAACTAAAATTAAAAGAAAAATTAGATAATGACCTATTTTTATGGAACACAACTACCCATTATCTGTTTTAATTCTAAAATAAATTTTAATTTTTTTTAAAAAAAACCTCTCGCAGGCACAGAAGTGCGTGTAGAGAGGCTACTATTTTATAATACTAATAGCAATTTAATCTGATGAAATAATGCTGTCACCGCATCTTTAATAACAACGGAGAAAATGATGGTTAGATCGTGCATCCAATACATTGACAAAACAATGAGATTATTAAGGATTAGCCTCTTCGCTCTCGCATGCGAGACTTTTTTTGATCACATGCGCTATGCGCGACTTATAAAGTTTATTTTTATTTTATTTTTACAATTGTATTTTTCTAGATGGTCGTTTTAAAAGTTTTTTTTATGGCCATTATTTTTTAGATATTTGTCTCAATAGTTTATGTTCGATAAAAGAAAATAAAGAAACTGTTGAAACGAACTTCTAGAAAATACAGGTGATAAAAAAAAACTTTTAAGACGACCATCTAGAAAAATACTATTGCAAAAATCGAAAAAAAAAAACTTTGTAAGTCGCCTGTAACGCGTGATTAAAAAATGCCTCTAGGAGGATAGTCTAATGAATTTTAGTAGCTAAGACGTTCATATTCTATTGATATTAGAAACTTTAATTTTGAATAATTGATGAAAACAAAAGTAAGTCTGAAATTGGACATGCAAGTGACATCGATCCTATCAAAACACAGTCATATATTAACAGGAATTTAGAAAAATACAATTGCAAAAATAATAGATTTTTTTTTTAAAAAAAAGGCCTCTCACACGTGGAAGTGCGTGAAGAAAAGCTAGTGTAATGTAACAGTGACTCCCTATAATTAAATGCTTCTATATTTAATATTATTTTAAGTATTTATTTAATGCCAACTATAGGAGTGCTGCTATTTCCACCCACCTGTCCTATTTTCCCACCCACTTTATCTTTAAAATTTTAAAGACAAATTTATCCCTTTATAAAATGACTTTTAAGGACTTAGGAAAAAAATATTAAAATCAATTTTAAAAAAGAGAAAAAGATAGTAAAAAAAACTAAAAAGATTAACCCCACCTCACCCCATCATCTGTCTCTTCGCCTCCACTAGTGCACCCCTCCTTATTCTCTATTTTCCCTCTTTGTTTCTTTAATAGCCACCACCCCACAATCAAAAGATACCAAGCAGATCCACCCCCAAATTTTCAGTATTAATAATATGAAGGGACTTTAACTGAGATTTGAATCAGCCCAGCAATTCTAGGCTCTCAAAGTCTGCACCTCTCAACTATGAGAGAGAGAGAGAGAGAGAGAGAGAGAGAGAGAGAGAGAGAGAGAGAGAGAGAAAGATATATATAAAGAGAGCGAGAGGGTAGCATTTGGGTTGAGTTGTGTGGCTAGGGTGCTGGGTTGTAGGGGGCGAGTTTGATGGGTGGGGTGTGATGAAATTGGTGGGGAGGGGATCGGGTAAAAGAGAGAAATAAAATAAAAATTGGAGTTTTTTATATTGTTAATTAATTAATTAATAATATGTTATTATTTACTTGATGGGTGGAAAGATAATGGGTATTTTAGGAATAATGGTGGGTGGAAAGATAAGATTGTATTTTTTTCAAATTTATAGGGTGGGTGGAAAAATAGGACATGGGGTGGAAATAGCAGCACTCTATTTAAGACCTTGCTTCCAATTGACTATTCGATTGGGGGTAAAGGTGAAAACGGACAAAATGTGAGTGAAAATGAGGTGTGAAAGGAATAATGAATCAAGTCAATTAGGATAATTTGAGTGGGTCAAATCATATATTAACGTGAATGAACAGAAATGCCCTTAATATAGTTAACAAAAAGGAAAACATTTATAATAAAATCGTTTGTACAAAGTACAAAGTACACAAACACTCAACTCGACAAATAATAATAAGGGTCATACTAAAATAAGCCCTTATAATTTAAAAACTCTAGATAATAACCCACCAATAATACAATGTTTAAGTAAAATCCAATTTTAGGAGGGGGGAGGGCTCTGTGGTGTGGTCTCTCAACAACAAAGGGAAATCCCTGGGGCAATAGAACCATGATTGAGGCTTGTTTTCTGTAATTTGGTTCAAGATATGAAAAACCCTGTTCATATTTGGTGTTTGTTTGTGTTTTAAAGGGATATATAAGATGCGAGTTTAGTTGGCTGGCTAGTGGATTGTTATTAATGTGAATGACTTTGATTTTTTGCATTGCAGGGAAGAGTTATGGGAAGAAGTTTTATGGAGGGATTGGGATTCATGGAAAGGGGAAGAGCGGTTCCTGGGTTAGGGTTCTAGGTTCGTTGGGGGTTGGAGGGCGGTGGTCATGGGGGAAATATGCGCTGGGTGGTTGCACTATGGTGGAGGGTGAGAGAAATTGGCTAAATGCTCTCATCTCTCTGCCAAAAAATTGATCACGACACCCACCCCCGTTCTAGTCTCCCCAGCCAAACACCCCGATCTACCCAATCGCAACCCACCCAAATGCCCTCATCTACCTTATCGCAATCCACCGTCTCTTCCGCGAACTAGCACACTCTGGCTACTAGCCTCTATAGCCCTAACCACCCTCACCGATCCAAATCAACCAAGCACTACCCATCAATAACCCAAAAAAATAATCACATCAATAAAAAATACCCAGATATGATCAAGCAACAAGACATTGAAGCGATCATGCAGATCTAGGTAGAGGTTGTTTTTCTAATCGAAGGCCCATCCAAATATATGGTAGAGACGAGATAGAGGTTTGCTGGGGATGAGGGTGAGGAAGATTGGTGTTTGTGGTTATCGACAAATAGTGAGGAAGATGGAGGCTTGATCGAGAGAGAGAATTTTTTTATATAAAAAAACTAAATATTTTATTCATATTTTAATCAATTTAAAATTAAAAAATGTGAGACCCATAATGCCACGTAGGCAACTAACAGAGAGATCTTACGGAAATCCTAACAGCAGAACCACATTGTAATAAATTTAAAAGACTGGGGTATGTGATTGTTAAAATTGAAAAGATAGGGACTAACATGTCTTAAGGGTGTAATCACATGGTACTAAACTGTAATTAACCCAAAAATTAACAATGAAGATGAAGCAATAAAAATTGACCTTTCGCAAAATATTATATTTATAAAT